GTGTTAAGCCCCAATAGACCTAAGTCTGTTAGGCGAGGTTGTCGGGTAAAGGCACAGACACATTGATTGAGGACTTTACAATTGTGGTATATTTTAAACAATAAAATTTAATCATGAATACATACAGACAAAATTTAATCTATTCTAACAACATAGGAGGAACTTAAACACATTAGAACTTCCAGGGAGAAGGATTGAAGAATTTACTTAAATATTAATAACACAGTAATCCACGTACCGACAAAATAAAAGTCTTGGGATGTTCTTTGAAGTTTCCTGTATTTGTATTTCTACTTATTTCTTGGACTGTTGACGTATTTTCACCGATGGATTCGGATTCCATTCACTCCTTAATTGAAAGTCCACACGTGTCGTTTTCTTTCTTCTTTGTCCTTGCACCACATAGTCTATTCTTATCTCACGACAAGACAGGGCCGAAGGGAAAACCAAAAAGTTTCTCTCTGGACGGGAGTCCAAACATTTATATCCCCCGCCATTGAGTGTGACGTGATGTCAGTCGTTGGCCAATCAGCAAGGGCGACGGGTTCTACCCGTCGCAATCCGATATCAGGAAGAAAACGAAATTTTACAATAAAACCCGATATACATAAATAACGGAAACTACTATACAATAGTGCTTATGCACTACAGTATTAAAAAATCGACTTACCAGCCATGTACAAACAATGTCCGGAAAGACTGTCCTTTTCATAGGTGAACCAGTACTGACTATATATATAAATAATTGTAAGCTTCTAAGCTTTCAATGACTGCAGCATAAATTTCATGAGAATTAATCAAGTAGTTATATATATCCCCATACGTAATTTTTGGTAATGACATCTCTGAGTTTTGGAAAAATTTAAGTCAAATGTCATGAAAGGAAATGGGGAGAGAAACAGTAGAACACGGATTTAATTTCAAGAGGCATGTTTTTTTCTTCAGTAGGGAGTTCATGATAATAAGAGATAGACATGATAGATCTTGAAAATTAGAAATTTTTAAAAATACGTGATGAAAAAGTTTAAAAAAATTTGTTTTTAATNCTATTATAAAGTGCAAAAAGCAATTTTGAGGGAAGGGATGGATTTTATAAAAAATTGTAAGTGCTAATAATGAGTAAAATCATCATCAAGTCCAACCCTACTGGAGACACACATGATCCCCTTTATCTCCCCATCCCTCGACCTTTAATCACTATAATTTAATACTACCAATCCCCCTAAATACACAACAAACTTCCCTGCAAAATTTCAACAAAAACATAGTTGTTATTAAGCTTCAAAGAGGATGAACAAAATTGTGCCACACAAACACACACTAACATCTATACATACAGAAATTGTCCCCAAATTTTTTTGCATTTCTTGACATTCCAAGGTCCCCCGAGTCCAAAAATGTAAAAATTTTGGTGTATCATTTTTCAACTGATTGTCATACTTTTCCTTTATATATAACAGCCAAGAAGGTAAAAATAAAAACACGTAATATAATTTTACTGCTGTAACTTAACATTAGGATCTAATAAGTTGTTGTTCTTCACTGGCAACACTTAATATCATTATCAATTTCACATTAACAAAGAATATAACAAGGTTTTTAATATAACCGTTTTTTTCAAGGTGCCTCTGCAAAATGCCACAACACAAATGTCACTAACTTAAAAGTAGCCAATATTTGTAGTTAAATTTTAATGTAAATAAATAGAATTATTTATTATTGATATATACCAGCAGTTAATACATATATGAATTTGCACATATACAGTAACACCTTTACAAAAATTCTGCTATTTAGATTAGCATCATTGCTATGCCACAAAACTCATCATTTTCAGTAACTTGTCTTCTCTTTCTCAGTCCACATTAAGTGAAGTTTGCAGGACTATACTGTATATACTAATACTGCTGAGTACCTTTGTATTACTGATATTTATTTACTTTTTACATAGTAAAATTTATGTTATTTTCTTTTACATTTATTAGGGCCTCCTTATATATGTTGGAGTTAAGGCAGATAGCTCATGTCTGTGCCTAAATTTAGCCTAAATAAGTCTTTAAATATACTTGATAAAAGTTTTATTTTAACATATTAACATGTCTATGCACTAAATTTTAAATCATCACTACTCCAAGGTCTCTTGAAACATAAAAAACATTTTAATGTCTATAAAACAAAGATTTTAGAGTAAAATTTGTGGACAGAAATGAAATATGACTAATTGTGCATTATGTATATGATTAATTAAAAGACTAAAGCCAAATTATAAACTGTACAAAAATATTAAATACATGAATAAAAAGTTTTTACATGACTTATCATAAAAAATATTATTTTAAAATTAAATTATATGGCTAACTATATAGATTTTAAAAGCATTTTTTATTTGTATTAGTTCCTCCAACAATGAATAAAAATAAAAGTAATGACATAATTCAAGAAATGGAAGGTAAGACCGTTACTGTTGCCTGTCCTTTGGAAACTGCTAATCCCAGTCCTGCTATCATGTGGCAGAAAGATGGCTATCCCATCTCATTATCTAGTCATCCTTTAATCACCCTCTCTTCCAACCGATCCACTCTAACCATTCGTAGAATTCGACCGATCAATGGTGGCATTTATAAATGCCTAGCCAGTAACATCGCTGGCCACTCTGAACATGACACGAGATTGGAGGTAATTGGTATGTAAACCCTTAACACGGTTACCTACAAGAATTAATCTTTTGATTAAAATAGATAAATTCTGGTATAAATATTTATAATTATTTTATAAATTTTAATAATATAAATCTTTTTATTTCAAATTTCACAGTACCTCCAATGATAGTGAACACGAACAGCGAACAAAGAAATCCAAATATAATAAAGAATCAACCTCTAACATTGAATTGTAAAACCGATGGAATTCCTCATCCAAAAATAAAATGGTTTAGAAATAACACGATAATCAATTCAGATGATTATTTGGTGAGTTGTAAATCCATTTTATGATAACCTTTTGAATTTTTTATAAAAATCAGTTGTAATAAAATTGATACACCTTAAACCCAACATTGTAATCAAATTCTGCATGTGGAATGATAGTGAAAAATTAAAAAATTTATTATAATATTAGAACACAAGGATATATTATTAAAGAACAGTTTTATGATAAACAGAGCCAGCCCTGCTATATGCTCACAAGGCAGTCTTTTAGGGCAGGGCTTCTTAAACTATGGGTCGCAACCCCATTTGGGGTCGCTTAGAGAAATCTTGGGGTCGTGAGATTTTAATGCAAAATATTGAAAATAATTTGTGAGAGTTTGAAAATGGCACGCTTTGTGCCATAGGTTCATGAGTTGCGCTTTGTGTCACTTCTGGTGCAGCGAGACAATGATTCTAGTGTGATGTTCAACACTGATTGTAGTGTGAATTAGTGTAGTGTTGTCGCTTTTCAGTGTATTTAGTTGTCTTTGTTCCATTGTAATACAAGAGTGAACTGTGGTAGTACACCATTATTGTTTTCGCAAATTTGTATATCTTTATTTTATATTTTTTGGGGGTCGCGAAAAAAATCACAATCATAAATGGGGTCGTGAGTAAAAAAAGTTTAAGAAGCCCTGTTTTAGGGCATAGAAATTTCAGAGTGCCCTAGCCAGCATCAGTTTAAAATAATTGATATTTTCCTTTATTACACATATTATGTATACATCCAGAGCTGTCACATGTAGGTGTACAGGTTATTCAATGCACAATGTGTCTAATAGTAATAAGGGAGGGCACCAAGATTGAAATTTGCCTAAGGTGCCAAAAACTTGGGTCAGCCCTGATGACAAATGTTACATGTCAAAAATTGGTAAACCTAGTGTAGCAATTAATTCAAACTGATCAATGTAGGAGATGGTTTTACAGTTTGTTTCATATTAATGCAGTTTTTTTAATGTTAACTCTTTCTTCCCTGTGGGCAGTAAGGGGGCTTATTTTTGCAAGCCCATTATAGATTCAGCCAGGCCCACAATGGGGTGGCCAGGTGTTGAGGGAGGGAGGGACAGGGTCCGACATATCTGTATGGACCACCCCCTGAAAAATTTCTGGGGATTATTTGACCTGTCCAGATTCGATCCTGGGTACCCCAGAATGGTAGACTGCCACCTTGACTGCTCAGCCATCCGGCTGTCAAATATTAATAAGTTATAAAGCCAACTCCGACATTGATCAGTTTGCATTCATTGCTAGACTAGGTTTGCCAATTTCTGATTTGTAATATTTGTCATGAAATTGTTTTACTTTTTCACTACCATTCCACATGCAGAATTTGATAACTATTGCATGTTGGCTTTCTGATGCAAAAGAATTGATGCATATTAGTATATATTTAAAAAATAATAATTACAAAATACTACATAATAATTTAGATATTATTATTAAAAAAATTTATTTAAAGCATAAACTATGGGTGTTGAATACTTTGAATATCAGTAATTTCAATTTTATATGTTTCAACTTTTAATATACAATATATTTCTTTTAGTTCATTCACAATGGTGAAACTTTAAGAATTCTTCAGACCAAAGAAAAACATGGCGGCTTATATGTATGCAGAGCAGAAAATATCGGTGGAAGCAAAAATAAAACTTTTAATGTGACCGTTTTAGGCAAGAAGTACATTTTATCGTTATTTAATACCAAGATATAATGTGTGTGTTAAATATTCCATATATCAAAATATTCATGTATTTTTAGTTCCGCCTTACATGAATCCGTCTCCCGCTCGTTCTGAGATTTCTCACTCTCTTTATGAAAACATTCGCTTATCTTGCCCGGCATTGGGATTTCCAAAACCATGGATTAGTTGGTATAAAGATTCTCGCTTGCTTACAAATGGATCTCGTATTGAAATATCACTTAATCAAACAAAATTATTTATAAAGAATGCCACTTCACAAGATGCAGGAATTTATACATGTACGGCTGTAAATGAAGCTGGTAGCAGTGAAAAAGAATTATTATTAACTATTTTAAGTAAGCAAGTTATATAATTTTTTTAAAGCTACAAACACAGGATGACTCAAAAATGAGTTAACCATATTTTTTTGTATGTTTCGGTTATGAATATGCAAATATTAATCATAAATTCAGTTTAGAATGACTCAGTTTTTCTTTATTAAAATTGATGAAAACATGATGATAAAAAGTATGATTGTATATTTAAATGGCCATTTTATTCAAATATTTAGTTCTTTTAATGGTTAATTGACTTTTGGGCCATCCTTATGTGTATTTTCAAAATGCCTTTTTTTTTGGCTTTATTTTATTTATATGTTTTTTTAATGCCTTTGTATTTTCAGTTCCGCCAAAGATTACAGCAATTGAATTAGCTGACAAACAGCTTCCAATACTACATCAGTCTGTTCGCCTTGTGTGCAAAGTTGAAGGTTATCCAATACCATTCGTAACGTGGTTTAAAAACGAAAATATACTAAATTCTGATCATGTAAAAAGCTACTATATACATGGTCAGGGACACATTCTGGAAATTGAATCACTACATTCCTTGGATAATGGACTCTACACCTGTTTTGCTGAAAGTAATGCTGGCATGGTCGAAGAGAATTTTCTTTTAGATATTTTAGGTAATTATAATTTATCATAAAATATCATTAAATTATATATAAAAAATAATAAATAATAAATTAATTTTTTGAATTTATAGATCCTCCTACTATTGCAAATAGTACTCAAACTATCAGTGCTAATCTTGGAGATTCTGTAGATATCAAATGTTTGGTGTCTGGCGATCCGCTTCCCAAAGTATCATGGTTAAAAAATGGGCACCCCATAGATAATATGACCGAAATTGGCTTTACAGAAACCAATACTGTCTTAAGAATAAATTCTGCTAATAAAGAACATCATGCTAGATACACTTGTATTGCTACAAACCAAGTAGGTTCAGTGGAACAGGACTTTCATTTGAATATCCAAAGTAAATGTTTTAAACTCAATACATTATCAAAGTTTTTATAAAATATTAAAATTATTAATTTTAATATTACTTTTTAGTTCATCCTTTTTTTGAAAATGGAGGTGATGAACAAGTATCCACTGCTGTCAATCGACCTCTAAAATTGAATTGTCCAGCCAAAGGAGAACCGTTACCTTACATAACTTGGTACAAAGAAGGTCACCCAATAATGGCAACCGATAATATATTTTTGAATGGTAACTCTTTACAAATTCATCGTTCTTCACCTCATCATGAGGGAATTTATACGTGTAAAGCCAGAAATGCAGCAGGAAGCATCAAAAAATATTTTAAGGTGATGATTACAGGTAAATCTTATTAATTGTATTTTTTTTTAATACATACTCTTTAAATGTTACATAAAACATATTCGTTTTTTAATTTTCAGTTCCTCCAACAATTTTAAATAATGAGCAGACGACATATCTTTCTGTTTTAATCAATGAATCTGCAGAAATGACATGTGTGGTCGAAGGAATGCCAACTCCTAGTATTATGTGGAAAAAAGATGGCCAATTAATCGATAAATCACATTCTTATGTAACATTACACAATGATAATACAAACTTAAGCATTCCAAATACCACCATTGAACACGGTGGAACTTATCAATGTATTGCTACCAACATAATGGGAAACAGTTCTAAGAATTTTGCACTTTCAGTATTAAGTAAGTTTATATTTCGGTATTAACAATAATTGCATATTTATTTTAGTTCCATAGTTGAACATAACCAATGGTTGATTTAAAGCATTGGAATCTTTTCTTACTGCCCAGTAGTGAAATCCTTTTGTGAAATCTTATATATTTTATTTATTTTTTAAGTAGAAAAAGATACAATTAAAAGCTTTGCTAAATAAATGTATATTTTTTAGTAATTGCAATATACATATATTGTACTGTACATATGAGTGGCAATATACAGTAGATACTAAATGTAAAACAAATTGTTATTATTGAGTGATAAATTTTAAATAAATGGTAGATATTTTTAAATAGTTTCTTGTACTGAACATTTTATACATTAACAGGTAGTTTCAAATGCATATTTTATGCTGTCCACTATTAAGATAAATTGTTTAAGTTTACTAGGTAACTGTGAGAATCTGTCAATAATTACTTTTGCATCCAATTCATTTAACAATTCCTTTTCAATGGATATAGCAACATATATGATTCTAAATTCTTTTTAAACAGTGAATTTTCAAAACTAAAGATCATAAAGACAAGGCTCTTAGCCTTGTCTTTATGATCTTTAGTTTTGAAAATGTCCTCTTACATTGAACATTGAGTAATGGATGGTGTGACAATGACTTTATAAAGTTTATAAAAGTTATTGTATGCTTTGTCATGAAGTCTGTTGGATGCCAGAATTTTTAGTACACATGATGGTCAAGTGCTATAAATTTTACACTTGTTAAATGCAAATCCATATTCTCACCATCATTAAGCAATACATCATATAGCATTTAAACTTTAACACATCATAATTCAAAGTAAATGAACAATTCCAATATTACTGTACCTAATCTTTGCTGATTTATAGACAGCTTAATAACACCTCCCAATGCTTCATCTTCAAGGCCCTTCTCTGCAATAGTTTTATCCTGCTTGGAGCCAGCAAACTTTAAATCTTTATACAACTTTTTGTGTTGTACAGTAAAAAGCTTGAATCTAGTGACTGGACAATTATTATTAGGTTAAACATATTTACTTGAAAATCAGATAGAATTTTTTAGAGTTGACTTTTTTCATAGGCTACTTCCCTGTCTCTATTTACATAAATCAGGTAAAAGTTCCATGACTTCAGATTTTTAAAAAAGTCATTAACATTTTTAACATTGTATATTGTTTAAGGGGACCTATTTGCCATCATGCAAACTCTGACATCCTGGCCAGTCCACCACTGAGTGGAGATACTACATGTGCTCTATTTCTGTTTGCAATTGTTTAATTTTGAATAATAAAAAGTTAAATAATTGGATACTGCTGAATTAATTAAATTAATTATGACATTTCAGACAAAGCATTTAAGCTGTTCACCCTAATTCTTTTCAAAGATGCTTTCTTCCTCTTCTTATTCATTAGCAACAAAACACAAAGCTATCACTATCACTTCCTCTTCACACTGTTATCATTCATTATTGACACAGCAATGTACTGTACCTAGTCTGGTTACCATTCTCTGATCCCTACCTCCAACCTAATGTGAAGACAAAATTTGTTTCCATTCACAGAGTTCTTATTCCAACAGTTCCAATCTCATTTAGAGTATGACAATCTGTACTGTTCCATAATGCATCACAAATCTTGAACATTTAGTTATTACGGATTTAAGGAATAGCATTTGAAACTCCTCACTGGCAGCTCCAAGTCTACTTGCAAGTAACCTTTTCATTCAATCACCTATATTATTTAATAATATTTTATTCTGTGTTTTCAATTTAGATCCTCCAACAATTGAAAAGTCAAAAGAAGAAATGAAGGCAATACTAGGAGAATCTACAATGATCGAATGCAACTCAAAAGGATTTCCCTCACCAGAAGTAACCTGGATGAAAAATGATAAAAAGTTAGAAAGTATAAGTACATATCATTATATTAATGAGAAAGGTTCACTACATTTTTATTCATTGAAAGAAGACGACTCTTCAAATTATACTTGCATTGCATCAAATGAAGCGGGTTCTGCTAATTCAACCATTTCTCTTTCTGTATTAAGTAAGATAGAATCATATATCAATTATTATTTCTAATTTTCATAACTTAAATAAATTTTTCTCTCTAGTTCCTCCAGTAATTGAAGATAGCAGAAGTGATGTGCATGTTCTGATTGGTCATGCTTCCACTTTGGAGTGTAAAGTTAAAGGTTTTCCTCATCCACATGTTATTTGGCTAAAGGGAACAAAAATGCTACACAAAGAATCTGGTAAATGTTGTACTATTGTACAGAATTTATTAACTGTTTTTTAAAATCTTATAAAGTAATATAATTCTTACCATAGATTACACACAGTTGGAGTCAGGTTCACTATTTATTCCTGTATCCAATCCTAGTGATAGTGGACAATATATTTGCACTGCTGAAAACGAAGCAGGAGTCACACGAGTAACTAGAAATCTTTATGTCGAATGTAAAGATTTTGTAATACAATTTTTTAAGTACTTTAATTAAAATTTTAATTGTAAAAATTATTCTTATAATTACAGCACCTGCAATTATAAGGGATGACTTTTTAGAAGAAGTTACAATTATACAAGGAAAAGATTTAGAACTAGAATGTCCTGCGGAAGGTTATCCTGTACCAAGAATATTGTGGGAAAAAGATTCAGAATCCATAAATTTATTGCAACCTAGATATCATTTGCAAAATTCAGGAAGTCTCCTTATTACCACGATTCAGTCTGAAGACGGTGGCACCTATCAGTGCATTGCAGAGAATGGTGTCGGAAAAGATGTCAAAATAGTTAACGTTATCGTTTATGGTATGAAAATTGAGATTAAAGATTAAAACAATGATGTTTTTTGCTATGTTTATCAATAATTTAAATTAAAATTCTAAATTTAAACAGTACCAGCAGTTATTCAACAAGACCAAGCAATACCGACTATTGAGGCTCCACAGGGAGGGAATGTCGTATTACCATGCGACGTTTCTGGTTTTCCTCCACCTGAAATTACTTGGCAGCATAATGGTCAACATATAAATAATGATTTCCATTCTGGAATTCATTCAGGAGATCTTCAGTTGAACAATTTGAAGGTTATTTTTAAATTAATTATATTTTTTCTGCTCCTAACACAATGAAGTGCTATAAATTAAGACACTTGGCGGGTTTCCTCATCTTTATTTAGTTGATACGTGTGAAAAAATTACACGTTTCGGGCTCTTAAGCCCCTCTTCAGCCAACTAAAACATAAAAAAGGGATATAACACGTACATATAAAAATACACAAGTTTTGTAGAATTTTTTAAAAAATTATCTTGATTTAAACATACCTATGCATACAAGTTTTATAAATTGAAGTGACAGCTTACTCTCAATATTTTTTTCAGTGACATCAGCTTATTCTCAATATTTTTTCAACAAACTAAAATATTAAGAGAGTATACGACATATATATACAAAAATACACATAAGTTTTATAAAATTTATAACATTATCTTGATTTAAAGCATACCTTGAGTATGACCTTTGTTAAAGTTGTACACAATAGATTATACTTTCCACTTATAAACCAGTTTTGTAAAATCCTTGATTTAAAACATACTTTGGACTCAACAATTATCAAAATGGTATACAATTGATTATGCTTTCCACTCATAAATCAGTTTTGCAAACCTGCCTTACAAAATCTTTACTTCCTTTGCATTGACAATATAGTACAAATTTACATATCTTCTACAATATAATACAAATTTACATATCTGANACGACTGTTATTAAAGTTGTACACGATTGATTATGCTTTCCACTCATAAATCAGTTTTACAAAATCCTTATTTCCTTTGATACGCATTGACAATATAGTACGAATTTACATAACTTCTGCAATTTAATACAAATTTACATATCTGACATATATTCTATTTTTGCAACGTATGATTGTTGATTTATTTAGCATTTCAATATTTATTATTATAAATTAGCACATTGATCACAAAAATAATTATATTTTTATGAAGTTTATCTATTAAATAAACTACATGTAAATCTATATGTAAATTACAGCCAGAAGATGGTGGACAGTATGTTTGTACAGCCACAAATGATGCAGGTCAAGATTTTTGGGAAGTTAATGTTCAAGTTTTAATTCCTCCAACCATAACGGTTCTTCCTGAAAATCAAAATATTTCTATTGGTGCTCAATTTACTCTTAACTGTGAAGCCAGAGGGTTTCCCACACCTACTGTTACTTGGTATCATAATAATGAAAAAATTTCTGGTATGTTTAAGTTTAATAATATCTTTTAATTAAACAAAAATCTTAGTATTAAATCTTGGAACTTCAGAAGAACAACAGATATCAGGAGGTAAAAGCTCTTTCACCAAGCTACATGCCGAAAATGAAGATAGCGGCATTTATACTTGCATTGCTCAAAATTCTGTGGGAGAGAAGAAAGTTGAAGTTAGCGTCCACATTCGAGGTAATTTTTGAAAATATAAACATGAAATATTTCTACAATTTATCAAAAATAAATCTTCATTTTTTAGTGGATGGAAACTGGGCCCACTGGAATGAATGGTCACCTTGTTCTCGATCATGCGGAGCAGGTACGCGTATCAGAAAAAGAATGTGTGATTCCCCTGCACCCAATAATGGAGGAAGATACTGCTTAGGGTTGAGCCAACAGACAGATTACTGCAATAATAATCATTGTCCTAGTAATTATATTTTACTGTTATTATGTCAAATATTTAATTAATATAGCAATAACACAATTAAATATTTTCAGTTCATGGCGGATGGTCCACTTGGTCGTCATGGGGAGAATGTTCGGCCACTTGTTCTGGTGGTCAGAGGAAGAGCTTTCGCACCTGTACCAACCCCACTCCCAGTCAAGGCGGTCGTCCATGTGTGGGTCCATCTTACAAAACTGAATTTTGTAACGTCCAAAGTTGTTCTGGTAAATATAAGTGCATTACTATTTTTTATTGTATTTTAAGTAATTCACAATTAATTTTTTAATTTCAGATTCTCCTAATCAAGTATTAGCCAACCTGATTGGAGAACTGAATGAGCTGGATATATCATTATCGAAAATTGAAGCAAACATAACTAAAGATGAATCAAAAACAAAATTTACTATGGCCCTTTCAAATATACCAGAAAATATTGGCAAGTTTCATAATTTATTTATTTGGCACATAAACTTCTAATTAAAATTAATTTGTTAAATGTCACTCATGGTTATCAACAGGTCATTGGATTAAAGTTATAGTTCCATTGGAACCTCTGTATTGGGTTAAAGCTTTTGAAATTGGACAGGCCATGAATGGATACAGTTTAACAAAAGGATTCTTTAGTAGCGACACAGATATAACATTTCCTTCAGGTAAATGTTATTTAATAGCATTTTAATTTTATGTTATCAGTGTAACAAAATCAAACTTTTAATGTAAATCTAGTACCTAAATGTAGAAATTGTATTTTAAAAGTTGGAACATACAGTACTGTATAATTTATTATTGATCAAATTGTTTATCATTAATTATTACTTAATAACACATACAATCATAACTTTGGGAATAGATTCTCACTTGAAAACAAGTTAAAAAGTCATGAGAATAACTCGAAAAAGAAAAGAACTTAAATGTTTTCTGAGAAAACAACAACAAATCAAATTACATGAATTTAATAGTGGGAGGGAGTTGTATAATTCAACTCCCACTAATCATCTGCCCACATACAAGAATCTTGTGATCTGACAACCAAATATTTTGTTGTTTGCTAAATCCTTTTGTTTCCTTTGCTCATCTATCCCCAGAGGAATACAATTAAAGTTTTTGTCCTAAAAGGGCCCAAGCTGAAAATTTGGATAAATAAGTCTGGAGTAGAAGCTCAAGTCTATTAAAAATAAGGAACAGAATTAGAGAGAATTTAACCAACAAAACCAGTATGAAAGACAACATTGTTAGAAGAAGAAAGAAAAAGACAAATTAGCACATATCTAACACAAGAAGAGGAAGACAATTTCAAATTAGATAAGTGGTATTCAATAATCACCATTATTGTAATTGTAGAGTGCTTAGCTGCAATTACACAAAGAAGGATTGGGAAGAACCTGCTCTCCAAGGATAAAAAATGAATGTGAACCTTTACATTCAACATGTAAAATTTAAACATTTTTTTGTATTATATACAATAGTCGGCCAGTTTTGGACTGTTAACCGCCTGTGTGTTACAGATATTTGGCAGTCCCTATCAATGCTGAGCATGAGTAAATTCATAATCTAACCAAACCTATGAGAGCCTACTGGTATGTTTTATGGCAGTCATATAATTGACAGAGTTAAATAAAATTAAAATAAATGTATATCAAATATTTTTATGGATTTTTTTTTTAAATCTAGCCCCCCTTACTCATTAGATAACAGGCACGTTTGTTCAAAGTTCTACTTTACAATGGTGGTAAAATATAATTTGCCAATTAAAATGA